CCTTTTTTTTTTTTTTTTATGGCAAGGCTTTCTAGAGATTGGCTTCCAATTCCAGGTGTAGGAGTTCTTAATGTAAGAAACTGAGGTTAAAATTTAAGTTGTTTCTTTGTGACTTTTGCATTTTTTTTGAGGTATTAAAAATGGTTAAAGTTTTCATACTGGTGATGTTGGGCTCCTACTTACAAGGCCAGCAATTTGAAACCATCCAGCTGCTCTGTGGGAGAAAGATGAAGCTTTCTACTCCTGTAAAGATTTACAATCTTGGGAACCCCACAGGGGCAGTTCTACTCTAAGCAGGGTCACTATGTGTGGGAGACCAGCCTCTTCACAACTGAAGGGGTCTAACAGAAGGGTGTGTAATTGAGGGGTAAATTAAAGAGACATCAGGCAATATAAAGCATGCAGGCGCTTACCTCTCAGTCATGACTTCAGAAGCCCGGTCCAAGCAGAAAGGCCGTAATCTAATTTCAGCAGTTTTTATAATCTTGGACATGCAGGCCACGGTAAGCACATATATAGCAATAAGGGGTTGTATAAAGGTAGACGCATAACATGGGGGTTATACAAGCAATAGGAAGGGGTTTCACTACAGGCATACATGTAGCAGGAAGGTACATAGTAACGAGATAAGCAGGCTCTAGAGTCAAGAGGGCAGCCTAATCCTGGTCTTCTGAATTGTCTTCGAGCTCTTCTCCAGGGGAACATTCTATGATCCTTAACAGAAGGGAGTGGGCCCTACTTAGGGAGGGACAGACAATAGGGTCTGATTGCCTCAGATAACTGGGAACCTTCAGGTAGATAACTTTCAAGCAGTTGACCTCCAAGTGTATATAGTTAGTGACATGTGTTTGCAAACAACCTAAATTTTGGCTTTTTTTTTTTTTTAATTGTTGAGAATGAGTGTGGGCTGGGGGAAGCAGAGCAGAGACCCAAAGCCCATCTGTTGACCATGTGTCCATTCCCTCACAGAAGGGTCACAGAGGAGGCATGAGTCCATTAGGGTGCAGTAAGATACTGATATTGCTACTTCATGTTTCACACTTTCATACTAAAAGAGAATAAAATTTTTTTCATTACTCACATTAACACATATACATTTTACTTTCATCTTTCCAGTATCATGATATAATTTTGAATAGGATTATGACTAAATGCTGTATCCCATGATCCATTTCCTTAATTATCTTTTATCCTCAGAATTCATAATTAAGATACTTAGTTTTCAATGCATTTGTCACTTAATTACTTTTAACTTTGCCAATATTTTAAAGGATTCTTGCCATATAAGCAGAAATAAAACTTGTCTTTTTTCACAATTGGTATTTGAATATATAAATTTCCCAAAGAATTACAAATAAATTATTAATATCAATAATTAAGATGTCTGTTCTTCCCATATTCAAAGTTCTAGTCACTGACCTTTAAAACCATAAGTTTATCGTAGAATCTGAGAAGATAATTCTAAAGTTTGGAATGTAAGTATCACAATAGTTAGGAAACTTGTTCTCCTTAAAGGTTTTAAAAGTCTTGAAAACCCACGGTGTGCAGTTCTGCTTTGTCTCATAGGGTTGCGGAGTCAGGATGGACTCACTGACAGTAAGTTGTTCCATCTAAAGGTTAGCAGAGTAGGAGGGCTTGCTTTATAGCATCTTTGGGATGTTTTTTTCTTTATAGTTTTTGGTTAATTTTATTCATCCTTTCAGAGAACTTCTAGTCTTGTTAATTCCTTTTTTATTTTGAACTTTTTATTTCGAATTGGGTAAAGGCTTATCGAGCACATCAGAAAAACATTTTGTTTTCATTCACTCATTGTGATCGTACCTTGTACCATCACTTCTCCCACCTCCTCTGTCATTCCTGTCTACACTCCTTTCTCTTCTAAGCCCTCTGAACATTGCCCTGGGTAAATACTCCCCTTTTGATCTTAAGTGATTGATTTATGGTGTTCTACAGAATCTTACTATAATAACACTTGGTGGTATTTCCCAAAGGACAAATAGTCCCCAAAACAAAATAGCCCAAATAGAACCAAGATTATTTGAGCACTTTGTTCAAAGACATGACAATGAGGAGAAAACATAAAGTAATCAACTTTCAATCAGGGATGCTGGAATAATTGACTCTTTATAAGCAGAAAGAGTATTTATTTCTGTGAGCTTGTAGCCTTCGATGTAAAATGCAAAGGAGGAAAACACTTAAGGAAGCCTTCGTGACTTTGCTCATGTGGAGACATATAAAACAAAACAATAGCCATGTTTTAAACAATTATCAATCAATTGCACTATATTTAAAACACAGTAAAATGACATAGCATCCCCTCTTTCTCAAAATGTGTAAAGCTAAAAAGATTATCAATACCAAGAGTTGGCAAGGACATAGAATATACATATACTACAACCAGGTTGTCTCTTAAGACTAGATCAAATGGACATATGCATATTTCCATATATCTGCTGCTTATATCAGCATTATAATAACTAGAAACCACCAAAATAGCTGTGAGTAGTAGACTAATAAAGTGTATATTTATACAAAGATGTGTTGAGTATTTTATACCTATGAAACAACACTCTTGCTAAAAATAATAAAATTCTCTTAAACCATTCAGTGAAATAGACCTAAAAGAGTATGCATTGATTGATTTTTACGTAATAAAACAAAACTGTAGCTTTCACAATACATGTTTAGATGGTAAAGATATAAAAAGAAGCAAGAAAATTACTGTGTAACTGATTTATGGTTTTCTTATAGGGAGAGGTTAAGGATCAGGAGTCAATAGAAGGGGTAAATATCGGGTCCTGTTTCTTGATCTGAGTGATAGTTCACGCAGGGTCCCACTTTGTAATAAATCACTGAGCTCTTCAGTTTTGTGTCCTTTCCCTTTGTATGTTATATTTCACCATTTTAAATGGTTTTTAAAATATATACAAATTTAAGAATAGAAAAACAGGAAGAAACCTTATTTATGAAAATACAGATATTACATACTTATGTACTTTTATTCATTTTAAGAAGGAAACAAAGTGCTGTTTTATACAGTTTGTTGCACCTACTAGATTGAAGATGAAATTAATAATGTGTATTTTTTGCATAAAATATTACATCAAGAAATACAAAGATATACCAGTTCCATTCTCCTCCTAGAAATATAAAACCACTTTTAATTTTTTTTTTCATTTTTCCCCAAAGATCTACTTGTTATAGTCTTACACATTTCATAGAAAATTTCCTAACAAATTTGAGTGCTTACATTTTAAAATGGGAGGACAAGCAATCGTGTGGGCTGAAATCCAGCTTCCATATTAATATAAATGATAGCCAAGACTATACCTCATTTATTTTATCTATTACTTTAAAAACTAACAGGATGATTATATTTGCTGTCCTGTAATTAGGACAGTTCTCTCATTAGTTGACTCTTGATTAAGCTAACTGTGGCAATGTGTGCCACCACTGCACTTTTACCAGTTGTTAGGGAGCAGCACTTTGTCAAGTAGGTGTTAATGGGTAGTACAATTGGTTCTCTCCACCCAAGTCTAAAAAAGACTTAAGATTTCTTCCTCCTTGCCCCAGTTACGGGAATTGGCAGTACATGGTAAAAACAGTTGTGCTAGAATCAGTATGTATGATGGTGGTGCCAAGTGATTACCTAGCCACGACAGTCTTAATTATGTATATTAACCAAAATTAGACTGTTTCTAAAATAAACACAAATCCAATTCATTTAATTGTCATCTCCATAGAAAGTGGCAGCAGATTTCCTCAAATATGCCGATTTAAATTGTAGAAGTTATTTCCTTATAATAACTGGTTTCCTGTTTTTCTGTATTCTTGTCCTCTTTTAACCCTTTCACTTAAAATTTTGTGACTCCCTATTGGGTCTAAAGAACATACTGAAAATCTTTACATATTAAAATAATAAATATGACTGCATCATATAGAAGTTTGTACAAGACAGTAAAGAAGACAATACCAATAAATCTGTTGAGTATATATGTGAAATTTTTCTTTATGTATAGATTCATGAATTAATATAGCTTGTATCCTGTAGAGGGCTATGTGCAGGCATTAAATAGGATGGTCCTGTTTAGGCCTCTATTCTCTGAGGCCTATTTTCTATTTTCTAACTTAATAGTTGAGGACTAAAACCATAGAGAAATTGTGCCTTTACTTGTGGTCACAACATTATTAAGCTACTACTACTGCTAAGTTTTGAATTCTGGCCATTAGCATGACTCCATAGACTCTCTATTTTGCAGATCTGAACCAGTGTTTAAAAAAATTTTGTTTTGGATTTGTCATGCTTAATAATTTTATTTTAAAATCAATATTTTAGCATAATGTTAAAATGGGCTATGAAAGTTTATTTGTATCATACAGTACTTTAGAGTTCTGTACTCTTAAGTTTTCAGTAATGTTTTGACATTACACGTAGTTAATGTTAAGTATTTTCTATATAACATCAAATTTAATTGCTATTATGGTGGCGGTAATTGTTCATAAGGGAAGTAATACTTATGGAAAAGTCTGTGAAATATTTTAAGAAGTATGAGTTCTCTTTTTTTTTGGTAAGATGTGTTTTTCTCTTTTTAAAGGTATTATTATGATGGGGACATGATTTGTAAAGTTCAAGGCAAGAGATTTGTATACAAGTTTGTTTGTGACTTAAAGACTCTTATTGGATACAGTGCAGCAGAGTTGAACCGTTTGGTCACTGAATGTGAACAGAAGAAACTTGCCAAAATGCATCTTCATGGAATCGCCCAGCCAGTCACAGCAGTGACCCTGGCTACAGCATCTCTGCAGTCAGAAAAGGATAATTGAGTCTCAGCTCCTTCTGGACTCTGAAGTCTTTCTTAGATAATCAGAGCAAGTATTGCTCTTACCTTTATTACTGAATTTGAATCTTATTTCTAGACTGTAAAATCTGATGCATGTTTTTTTTATAAATATTTCATACTCTTGTGAATTTGGATCTTTTTACTTTGAGCATATATTTTAGAATATGTGTATGTTAAAGAATCTCCACAATGTTTCCAACATGAAGGCAACATATTCATTGTGGGATAGTTGGTTAAGTCAGGAAAGCTGAACTGGTCAGTATTAATATCGAACCCTACCAAAAATAGCCAGTGGCATCTGAAGATGACAAGTAAGTATCTGCAGGAAACAGTCTGGCATACTGTTTTTAAACAGCTGTTTCCCCTGTCTGCTGCTTTGGACGTTCCTTTACGTGGAGCCAGAACATGGAATTCTCATAGCTAAAGCATGTGTGCCTGTTCCAGCTAATCAAGCAGAGCTGAAATACTCATATCAAATAAAATTATAATGATATTAATAGATTACTAAACTAAGAGTATCAAGTTATTAAAGTAATTTATATATTTGCAAGCAAAGACAATAAAAAATCCACTGTCAGAGAGTAGTGCTAAAGAAAGAGATCCAGATTTAAATACGGCTTAACTCAAGCCAGCTCTAAGGATTTGCTGTATAGATTATACATAATGTGCGGCCAAGAAGTTAAATTATTTTGAGAGGCATTTAATTCTAATAAACCAGCTTTACAAACAAAAAAAAGAAGAGTCTGAAGTGATCTCTGTTTTTCCTGTCAGAGATTTAAAAAACTAAAAAAGTATACCTCAGCCGGAAAAGAAAAGTTTGGTTTGGTATGGCTTTCTTTCTTTGTTTCCTTTTATTACCTTGTAGTGCTGATTTATTATGCAAGGTAGTTATGTATTCATTGTACTTCTGATGGAATGAAGACTTTAAATCAGTCACCTGTACTTTGCCTTTCAAAACATTAGTAAGTTACTTTGAAATAGTCTTAAGGAAAAATTGCCTTCAGTACATGAGGCATTCTTTTTCTGCTTTGAAATTTGTCATTTATTTAATTACCTTCCTTTTGAGTATTATATATGTGTGTATACAAATATCTATACATTTATCATTGCCCATATATACATAGGCATTCAGAAGGAAAAATATTAAATAGCTCATTAAAAATTTAGTTCACATGTGTATAGATATCTTTACTTAACATTCGCTAACACTAATCAAAAATGGCTAGATATGTGTCTATGTTCCTTTCCTTTTTGTTATTTAAGGTATGCATTAATCATGATATGAGAGACAAGCACATAGCTTTTCAGTCCTTTTACAGCAAAAGACTGATTCTTAAATATTGCTTTTTTTTACTTTCCACATATTATTTCCCATAAATTCTGTCGTAAAGCAACTATGAAAGGTCAGTTAGTACTTTTGGCTAATAAGTAAAAGACCAAGCTAGTATGGGCAGGGTGCCTGGTAAGCCATAGCTGTTACCAGTACTGATGAGCATCTTGGAAGGAACCACACAAGGCACATCGCTTGAGAACAAGAGTCAAGGAATCTATGATCTCTCTGGTAATCTTGGATCATAATTTTAAGCACTCTGCTAGAGGCCTATAACATATAGCAGTTTATTTATATTATTGCATAAAGGTCTTTAAGACTCTGTAGTAGATATTACCATAAAATAGTAAAATTTGTCATTTCTATTTTTGTTTCGTTAAAAACAAAATAGAGTGGTATCTTAAAATTTTGTTACAATATTGCAAGGATGAGCAGGATAGCAGTATGAAATAATATGTAGAAGCTAAAGCTTCAAATAACATCTGAGTAAAAAGATTTTACATTGTCCTCTTGTGGCTTAAGTAGTTGACAAGTAAGTCGCTGATCGTTTAAAAATAATAATGTGCTATTCTGATCTTATCAAAAGGGTAAGAATATTGACCTTTATTTAGATTTTACAATGCTTTGAGGGAGATATTATATTGTTTTAGCTAGGATAACATACTTTTTACACCTCAATTAAATTTTTTTTTAAGTATAAGGAATACCCATATTGCTTTCTAGACCCCTAACTTTGAGCTATTAGTTTTCTCCTTTAAGCATTCCTCATAGACCTTTCTTATATGCACTAACATTCATCATAAACCCTCTTCCCCCATTGGCAGATTTTATTTCTTCATTGTAATTGGAACAGAGACAGTTTTCATACATGATAGTTGCTGTCTTTTTTCTTCATTGTTTCTCTCACATTTTATATACCGTGACTTGGGAGATTGAGTTCCTAACTGAGTCAAGAAATCTTCATTACATTCTAGGTCTAACATATATAAGCTATTTCCTTTGCTCTTGTTCAGGTTATAACTACCAGAAAGTTAAACCATTTTCATGTAATGAAGAACAAAGTATAATTCTTGTTGACCATTTTTGTTATGTTTTCATGAACATTTTTCAGAGCAGGAGAATTTACAAATACATACAAAAGAAGAAAGTACAAATATATACAAAAGAAGAAAGATCAAATTATCAGTCACGTTTTTGTACTTTATGTGTACAAGAATAATGAAATGTTTATATTTTAAAACTTGTTTTCTGTGTGAAGTTTTCATTGAGCCAACTTTTATGTCTCTCTCTCTAGCTGAAAGCTTGAAGCTATGTGTTCGACTCATAAAATCAAGCAACTTAGCAGAATCGCTGTGGATAGTTATCTTTTCAATAATCAACTGGCCACATTCATTCATTCATGTATCAAACTGTCAGTTACATTTGATTGTTTTTATCCCTTAAGAGGAAAACTGAAACAACATATTTCTTTAAAGGGTTATACCTCCAAATCCTTTGGGGTAGTCTTGCTGATATTCATATTCATTACTTTATGTTACTGCCTTTTAAATATAGCTAGTATATATTTGAAATAGCACAGAATGTTTTAAAATTCATAATTGCAAAACAAACCTGTGACTAACTTAATGTCTTCAGATATAGAAGGTATAAAAAATACTGATATTTCAATGATATTTCACTTGCTGCCAGGAGGAAAATATTCTCAATTTTTTGTAAAAGGGAGAAGAACTTTTGCATACATTTTTACTCTTTAAATAAAGACACTTACGCTGTCACAATAATAATTATGTATTTCTTTGTGGTTAAAAAATTTTTTTGTAATTTTACATAAAACAGTTATTTTCTATTTTTACTCAGATAAAAAATATTTGTGCATAAAATGTCAAAATAGTAAAATGAGAAAAATAAAGTTATTATACATTGTTTCTGTGATATGTGAAGCTTTTTGTTTATTTGTTTTTGTGTTTATTTCCTACACACTAACCAGTTTGAGTGAAAATTGTAGAGTCCAGATCTGATAGTGTACTTTGGGCATGTTATCAGGAGGCACTTCTCTGGAAAAGGACATTATGCTGGCAAACTATGGGGTCAGCAAAGAAATGAGCCTAATGAGATGAACTGACACTGGCTGCAGTAATGGACTCATAAACGGGACGGTGTGAGGATGATTCAGAACTGGACAGTGTTTGACCCTGTTGTAAGTAGAGATGACTGAATCAGAACCAGCTCAGTGGCACTTAACAGGTTTCACTGAACTACAATCAGGTGGTAAAGTTTAGTCTTTTCAAGAAAAATGAAACCCACAAAGCCAGATTTTCTTTTCGAATAGTAGTAAGTGATGTGGTTAAGATAGTAAATATCTAAGAGAAAATGATATTGATCTTGAACAATTCACAACAAAGTCTTTTTAAAAGCTAGTTACTGTAAAACAGATTTAGTAAAGCCTTTCAACCTTTTCTTTTATTTATTGGTCAATTTTGCCTGAATATCACAGAGGAAGGGGGACAGAAAAACCACTTCAGCCATTAAGGTAAGTAAAGAATGCATTGTGTGAACTGTTTAAAAGTAAACATTGTAAAAAAAAAAAGTAAACATTGTATCTTGTTTGAAATCAGCAAACCACCCCAGTTGCCGGGGAGCGGGCTACCTAGCGGGGACCCACCCGGAAAAGGGGAAACTGCCCAATGTGCAGTTTCCAAAGCTGAAAAATGTTCAGCCATAATTCTTGGAGGCTGAGTTGGGTATGAACAGCTGAGACCTTCCGGTTAGTAGAGTGTTCTACTGCCACCAAGGCTATATGTAAAAATAATTTCTTAGAAAACTTAATACTAGCCACATCTCACTTTATTAGCAAACAGGTGAGATCTGTTCTCCCAAGACACTTTGTATATGTGCAAGTCAACATATATTAAAGATTCTTTTTACTAATAACTAAAACATTGCTTTTTAAACTATCTGAAGTGGACTACTTTTTAATATCTAATTTGTAAGAAAAATGAATTACTGTAAGAATTTAAATGATCACTGTAATTCTTCAATTGATATGTGAGAAAAACCAACATTTATAATAGCAAGTCAGAAGTAAAACTTCCTTAACCTGATAAAAAGATCATCTATGATACATATGTAACCTAAGGGGGAACTTCAAAAGATATGGGAAATCCTGTGATCTTTTTAACTCCATTGTGCCACAGAGTTTTTGAAGCATGCTTTGATTTTTTCCTGTGAGAGTTGGGAGAAGGGGAGGATAACTTGTCCTTACCCTTTCTAGTGCATGCCCGAAGGTCCTGCACCTGACCTAAAGCTGCAGACCTCAAAGGTAGGATTGGGATAGGAACAGACCTAATGTCCAATGGAACAGACCAAACTTACTAGGATGAAAGGGTAAAAAAATCTTTAACAAAAGTGTAAACACTTGACTATATGTATGGAAAAAAATGAACCTCAGTCCTTCCTGTCACATGTAACAATTAAAATGGGTCGTTGTAGGTGCTATCAAGTTGGTTCCAACTCAAAACCCATTACCCTCAAATCAATTCTGACAACCACCCTATAGGATGGTGAAGAATTGCCTCCTAAGGTTTATAAGCTTGTAAATCTTTACAGAATGGATTATGCCACAATACAAAACCACAACTGAACTTGTAAGCATCATGATAAGTGGAGAAAATATTAAAGGTGACAAGAATTTTTTTCTTGGAGCCATAATCAACATCCGTGGGATCAGCAGTCAACAAATAATCATCTTTGAGCATTAAGATTACAGCAAATCTGCAAAATAATATCTTTAATTAGTGTTCAAAGATGTCACTTTTTAAGACTAAGATGCACCTTGCCCAGGCCATGGTATTTTCATTTGCCTCATGCATGCGAAGCTCCACCAATAGCTAAGGAAGACTGAAGAACTAATGCAGGAATTTGAATTTTGGTGTTAGCAGGGAGTTCTAAGCATGGACTGCCAGCAGGATAAGCAGATCTGCTGGAAGACGTAGAACTAGAATGCTGCTTAGTTGCAAGGATAGTGAGGGGTCATCTCACGTACTTCGGGCATGTTATCAGAAGGGACCAGAGGACTTCATTTTTGGTAAAGTAGGGGGTCAGTGAAAAAGAGGAAGGCACTCGACAAGATAGATCGACCCAGTGGCTTACAGCAGTGAGCTCAACCAACATTGGTGAGGATGAAGCACACCTGGGAAGTGTTTTGTTAAAAGTCAGAACTAAGTAGCACCGAACAGTAATCCGCACAGAAACAGATTGCCACATCGTTCTCCCTTGGAGTGGTTGCTGGATTCAAATCTCCAATCTGTGAGCAGCCAGGCGCTTCCTCCATGACTGACACATGTAAAGATCTCTTAGACTTCCTAGGCAAAAAGCAAAGTCAAAGGGAAAGTAAATTGGACTTCATTTGTATCTTAATAACCTGCTCTTGAAGTACATTTTTAAGATAGTGAAGTCAAATCACAGATGGAGAAATATTCTAAATACATATATCTTAACAGAGGACTTGTTTGGAAAAAATACAAAGAAATCTTAATAAGCTAATTCAATAAAATATGCTCAAAAGATTTTCAGAGACACTTCACAAAAAATGGCATATGTGGCCAATAATAAAAAGTTGCTCAAAATGATTAGTTGTCAGAGAAACATCAAAATTATAATTACATAAAAATTACAATTCAAGACTACTAAAAACCTTTGTTATCATTTGTGGCTCTAACTCATGTTGATTGTATAACAGAACAAAGTTTTCCCAGGGCCCATTAAAACTGCTGAATGTTAAAAGACTCACAATGCTGAATGCGAATGAAGATGTGGAGCCAATGAAACACATACTGCTGTTGGAAATGTAAAATGACACAAAATCTTTACAAAATTTTGCCATTTGGTGCTAACAGAAGTATACACTTTCTTTACAACCCACCAATCGTAGGTCTTTAAGAGAAAAAAATGTTCATTTGGTAATTTGCACAATTATACCAACTTTGTATTGTCCCAAACCTGTTGTGTTAGTCCTGGTTGACAAGAGAAACAAACCCAGGGACACTCATTTGTGTGCCATAGTGAACTTTATATCAAAGAGTAGTTAGTTGTATATTAAGAAAACCTCCCAGCCCAGTTCAGATCAAGCCTATAAATCCAATATTAGCCCATCAAGTTTGATACCAGTCTGTAAGTTCCTCTTCAGACTCACGCAACGCATGCAATGATGCTGAATGCAGGAAGATTATAGGCCGGTGGCTTGTGGATCCAGTGTCAGTAAAAGCATCTCAGTGCTGGCATAGTCTCCATGTGGCTCCTCCAGCTCCAGGGCTTTGGCTGCCATCAGCAGAACTCCATGTGGCTTGTTCAGGAATGTGAAGCAGAGAGAGAGTGGTCCTCTTCCCAGAAGAAAAAGGGAGTTCCCGAAACTGCCTGGTGGGTGTTACCTTGTGACCTGATTGACAGGTTAGACTCCACACTTTCACTCTTAAAAATCCACAAATTGACATGAGATTATGTAACTACCACACCTGTAAACAACCCATATATCTAGTCGGGTGACTAAAGTAAATACACATGGAAATACCAGTCAACAATAAAAAGGAGCAAAAACAGACACACAACATGGGTGACTTTTCTAAATATGTCCTGAACAAAAGAAGCCAGATCCCCAAACCAGAACATCAAGGGTAAAGCTGTTCATAGGAAACTCTGCTGTGGTTATGTGCTGTCAAGTTGGTGCCAACTCTTAGGAAGAATGGAGTAAAGCCACCACAGGGTTTCGAAGGCTGTAATCTTTATGGAAGCACATCACTTGATCTTTCTTCTGTGGGTTTGAACCCCCGACTTTGCTTACCATTGCACTCCAGAGGTCCTTGATAAAAATATAGAAAATACATTTAATCCGTAAGAACCAAATGCAGGTTAGTGGTCAGTAAGGACTAGGACTGGAGGGTTATTTTCTGGAATGAGCAAAAGGAATTAACTTTTAATTGACATGTCCTGTTTTGTTTTCTTGATGATTGAATGAGTGGATAGATTTTCCAAACACATCTAAATGTACACTTACAATGGGATTTTATAAATTATGTCCTAATAGAGTTAATAAAAACATTACTAGCAAAATTAAATGACAAAAGATATAGACATGCAACCCACTTTATTATGAATCGGTGTTTTTAATGTTTTATTGTGAATTGGATGAAGACTTAAAGAGCAGGTCATTAGTTTTACATAACGATTGAGAACTTTCTGTTTCATTTCCTTCAATGTAATCTTTTTCATGTAAAAGCACCCATCCTACCTCTTCAAGGGTTTCCTATCCTGTCTTTGTTTCTCCTTTTTTTTTAGACAATTTCTTACTGTAAATCAGGGGAGGGATTACATTTGACATACTCAGCATTTTATCCAACAGGTAAAGCTGTTAATCAAACCCTCCAATAGTTTGCCCTTCACCTGCTCCTTGATTTCTCTTCTCCCTCTTACAGACGATTATTTTCGAATCCGCCCAGGTTAATACCATCAACAACGGTCTGGCCCATTGTTTGATCCTCTCCCTGGTTGTTCCCCATTGGCAATCTCCAAAGTCTATGTCCTTCGGTATGAATCTTTATTTTTCTCCATTATACCAGTGGTCTCCTAGAATATTGCCATTTTGTGACTGTTAACTTCTCTCAGCATATTGCTCTCCAGGTCCATGCATGCCACGAGGTGCTTCCTGGTTTCATCATTGATTTTTTAGGGCTGCATAGTATTCTGTTGTGTATGCCCCAGATTTCCTTTATGCATTCTTCTACTGATGAGC